TAAGCACAGTGAACTAAAGCATTACCGTGCATTTTAGAATTGCACAATATATTTGGTTTTTCTGTTACCTTTAAATTCCTTTACAACGAGTAACCACAGATGGAAAGAAAATGCGGAAATCGGGTTTGCAACAGCCAAAAGTATGAACTCAACTTTGTCCCCTCAAAAGAAACTTTACCAAAAATATTTGAGAATATTAGAGAAATACTCTAAGAAGAGATAAAACTACTGACTTACTTTCCTCCCCCGCTGTGCAAAGCCGGTGTCGGCCTCGTAAGCAGATCCGAAATTTGAGAGGATAGCTTAGTCTTTGCTGCCGTTTGCTGCTGGACCCTGACTTCGGCTGCGTCTGCCAAGTGCATCAGTGTCTTTCTTTCTGGGCTCTCTTCAAAATTCTTACAGCCAATACATTTGCATATTGAGGAACACATTATTTTTGCCTAAAAGATTTACAGAAGAAAAGTTTCCAAGTCAAAACCAAAAATCATTCCTATAAGTAGATTCCACAATCAAATCAACAGATAATACCTGCGCAGCGGACGCAGGATGAGACGGACGCATCTCTTGCCGACAAGCACTAAATGGGCTAACTACGCGTGTGCAAAGGTCAGGCAGCCTCGAACCTGAGCGTGGCTCTACAGTGTGTGTGTTCAGGTCCTTCCGTGTCAGTTTCCCCACTATCAACAGAGATTTTCCTCCTTAATTGTAAATATTTTACTGTAGCAATATATTTAGTCTCCACATGGAGATTAGATTCTAAATCTAATCTAAATTTAGATGTAGATTTAAATTTAGATTTAATAATCTAAAGGATTATTAAAATACCTGAAAGGATCCTATGTTCTAACGAACATAGGATCGAAAACACATGTTCTTCATAAAGAATATGAATGACACATTAAAACATATTTTTAAAGGGTCATTCAGAATCCAACCACCGCGACCAAATCACCATCAACATGCGGGTGACCTCCGCTTTATGCCAAGATAGACACGGCTTCACATTACAGGGAGGTCGTGGGTGCTGTCTTCATCATGGTGGCCTCCCTCGCTGAACTCCCTCCTCAGATTCCCCAAACCCCTCAACAACCCGCATTAAATTATGCCCTTTCATGTAAAAATATGTAAAATACATAAAATCATAGACTTACGTACATCTACTAACCAATACAGAGCTCTCTTTCATTTTTTAGTTTGTTTTACAAAATCATACACCTACTTTTCTTACACAGCTCACAGAATGCCTCCCAAGTTCTGGCATCGCCTGGATTCATCCTGTTTCATGGCTGGGCATTAATCCCTGGGGTGATTTCTGCATTTCATTCATTTCCCTACCGATGGGTGCTTGTTTGCAGTTCTCGGGAGCACAAATGTGCAAAGAAAGACTTTTTTCGTGTGCATCATGCTTTTATTTCTGAGCTAGATTTCTAGAA